GTTAAATAAGACTCAAACCATTTTAGAGCTGTTCCTGTAATCCCAACATCAAGTTTGTCTACGTAATAAATTATTGTGATTAATTGTATCAAATGCAGCACTGAGATCTGACGGGACAAGAATGGTTGAAAGGGAAAAAATGACTTTTAAAATGAGTCCTGATCTCAATCCAACTGAAAATATTGGGTGGAGCTGAAATCGGCCATTATAGAAAGAAACCCTGCAAATGTTCAAGAGGTTGAACATATTGCAAAGGAAGTGTGGGAGAAAATACCACCTGAGAAGTGAAGAAGCTTAAACTTAAAGATTAAACTCTCATTTAATCTTTATTCATCTTAGATTTACAACATCTAATAATTTATTTCTCATACCACATCCTTTAACCATTTTAAAGCCTTTATTACTGTATTTATTCATGTATAATACTAGAAATTTAACCCTAAAATCATCCATAAAGTATGGGGGGGTCGTATTAGACACAGGTTATTGGTAATTAGAATTTTTATGCTTTTTAAGCTTAAAAATGATGATTGTATTATAATTAAGATCGTATTATAAACATGAATAAATACGGTAAGTTTGTTTTTTATATGTTATTTTTATCCATTATTCCTGAATTTTGATTCTTCTAATTTTGTAATAAATTGTTAAAAAACAAAACTGGGTTCCTACTTATTGCGTATTGATTTTATATCAGTGAGCTCTGTTTATCACGTGAATTCATACTTCAGTGTATATGAATCTGATTAAAAAGGGTGAATAAATATTATCAGTTAAATCTGATTGGTGCCCTGACTGTGCAAAGTGCAGAAACAGTCTCACTTTCACCAATGTTTTTATTTTCTCTTTCTAGTTTTTGTCTTTATAAAAATGTTACTGTTACCTCTCTAATGAGCTTTTGTAAGTTTTGCACGATGACGTCTCCTGCTGCTCCTTCCTTCTCTGGTGCAGCTTCCTGTCCTGTGCTGTGTCTCTGTCCTTCCTCCTGCTCCTCCTCGTTAAAGTGTGTTCCAGGTCGAGGAGGAGTGACGGGGGTTATGTTGATTGATGTTCGATACACTTCCTGTTTCAGCTGGCCTTCATCTTCCTCTGCTCTGACTGGACTCGGGGAGCAGGTGGGGGGGTTGGTTGGGGGGCCGTGGCCATCATAGCTGAGCTCCGTTTGAAGAAAGAACTGCTCTCTGAGGAGGTCTGACACCTGGGAGGCAAGATAAATAAAATAAAAGCCTTACTTGAGGAAAAAAGTCATCCTTTCTGAACTTTAAAAAGCTGTTTTGTGGAGGTTTCTGCTGACCGGCTCCATGGCTCTCAGTGCTGATGTGGTGGACATGCTGTCAACACTGATGACTCGACGAAGATCCTGAAGAAACACATGGTCTGAAATGTAGTTTGGGATGTATATTATGTAAGCTTTGGGATATTATCAGTGATGAGTTCTTACTGTGTGAGGGGTCAGATCCATCAGTCGGTATTCCAGCTGTTGTTCCAGCACTCGGAGCTCCTCTCTGACTGCTGCRCTCAGAGACTGAAGCTGCTCTGCCTCCATTCTGGAAAAAACAACAACAACATTCAGTTGTGTTTGTTTCACACTTGGTTCTGTCTGTTCCAGAGCATGAATTGTTATTTTGTGTCACCTGTCAGCAGGACTCAGGTGTCTGTAGACGACAGCCTGTTGTTGCATGATTGCCAGCTCCAGGTCCATCATCTGACTGCGGAAAGTGTTCAGGCTCCGTCTTTTCTCCAGAAACTCTGCTAAAGACTAAACAAAATAAAACATGCTTTACTGATAAAGTTAACGACAAAAAGTCACTGTATAGAAAGCTACTTCATTCACAATTAAATAAGAAATAACTGTAATTATTACAGTAATAATAAATAACACATCAAAAATCAATATAATATACATCTTTTGGCATGTCTTTAATTTATTTCTTCATTTATTTTTTGTCAACACATTTTATTGAAGATTTTATATTTTACACTTTACAATGTAGGGGAGACCGGGGACCGTTGCAACACGTCATTTTTCTCCAAACAGAAACAAGCTAGACTGAAGACCATTAACTGTACATGCTCAGTTAGATGTCTCACCTTGCAGAGAAAAAGTAAACAGATTCAAAAACTGATCCTGGATTTATCGGGAAAAAAAACTGTTTTTGAGGAACCAAAGTATTTTTTTGTCTTGCTTTGTTTTTGTTCTACTGTTGTCACTGTTTTAGTGATCCAGCTCAAATTTAAATGGTTTAAACAGGTGATATGTTGACTTTTAACTTATATAGTTAACATCAGTGCTGGGCACTAGACCCCTAAAGCACAAATGTGCTAATTGCGGACCTAAACTTCTCATTTGCGCTTTAGGGCTTTTACCAAATTTCTCTAGCTGTATGCGGATTTGCGCTTTCTAATTTTAAAATTGAGAAGCACTTATCTAAAATTTTTAATTACTATTTACCGTTATCATAATTTAAAGCAGGGGTAGAAAGTCATCTGAAGTTACAGTTAAGAAAAGTCCCTAAATATCTAAAGTGTTCAACCTTTTCTTGGACAGTAGAGGGGGTGCTTTCAAACCAACACCGTGACGAAACAATAAGGAAACAGCGCCACCTGAAACATTTATAAAATCACACAGAGCTTTATACTGTAACTAACTGTCCTGGGTCACTGCTCTGAAATTAAGAGACACCTCCCACAATGCTTTGCATGGTAGGAAGCAATTGGAGGAGCAAAATTTGAAATTTGTGAAGTTTGATGTCAGCATGACGTCATATTGACATATCCATATGTTTGGTCCTGTCCCATGCTTAGGATATACTGGCCATCTATTTTTGACTCTTTAAGTTAGATCACAGGGAAAAGATTGATGTCAGACGCCATCACTGCATTGTTTGGGGTGACTCCTAATCGGTGTGCATTGCCAATGCAATGCACACTATTGTTGTGATTCATTTCCCATCCAAGTCATCTCAACTTTGCCATGCTTCTCCTCCTGCATACTTTGTCCTAGAGCTGCTAATGTAATCTATATCTGTAAAGCCCCTGTGCCAAATGCTGGCTATGCCTTTTGGTGCCTGTACAACTTATAGTTTATGAAATATTAATGTTTAATGAATTATAATGGCAGTCAATGGAACCTTGTATTGGTCCAATACTGCCCCATGCTGTACTCAACTTGGTACTGCACC